GTTGGATGCGTTTCATGCACGTTTGCAGTGACGAAAAGATCCCCGTTTTTTATTGATAAGAGGGTTGGTTGAGTGTTCTCTGTTTCATTCTTCAGTCCGGCACTCTACTTCTGTTGTTGGTAGTTTGTAGTTTGACAACAAGACTGACAGGAAGTCTTGTTCTGTTTATGGATTTGAAGACGAGCCACAACTCCCCTGTTTTTGTTGATCCTCTCCCTTCACTAGCCTTGCCTATGACGTACACAACGCCTACTAGCTTCCCATCTTCTGGGCTTTACCTGAACACCCCAAAGAAGAAACCTCTTCCCAGCAAGATCGAAGAGGTTCGTGCTGCCGGATGGCTTGATCTGATGCTGGCCTCCTCACCTCCTCGTAAGAGGCAAAGCAAGGACTTCTTACCCCATGATGTTCAAGCTGATGATCTTGATTTGCGGTATCGTAATTGGATGGTATGTATTTGATTCTATAGCATCTGATAGTATTACAAGGAAACCACACACCGTTAAATTATTTCCATCGTTTTGTTTCGTAGGTGAATTATCCTTCTGCTTTAGGCTCCTTCGAGGCAATTACTGAGCTTGCCCGTGGAAAAAAATTGGCATTGTTTCTTGATTATGATGGAACTCTTTCGCCTATTGTGGACAATCCTGCAAATGCAGTAATGTCTGACGAGGTTTATTTTTAAACCCTTGCTCCACATACAGTTTGAACTGTCATCTCTATGTATGTGTTACAATATCAGTGAATTTTCCATTCTGCTTCTAAAGATTTTTTTCACAGATGCGTGCTGCTGTGAGGCATGTAGCATCACTTTTCCCGACTGCAATCATTAGTGGAAGATCTCGTGACAAGGTATGTTGTTTATACCAGTTTCTACATCTCGGCTCCTTTCTTACTCTATTTTTCTTCTACCTAAAGTTTCCTGTCCCTCTAGGTATTTGACTTTGTGAAACTAACCGAGCTGTACTACGCTGGAAGTCATGGAATGGACATCATGGGGCCTATTAGGAAGTCTGAGTCCAATGGTCACCATGTGGAATGTGTTAGGTCCACTGATTCAGAGGTGAAGCAACTTTCTTGATTTTGTTCCAACATGATTTTTTCTTCTGTTTCGCAATTTTAATTGTTCACTTGTTTTCACTCATAGGGTAAAGAGGTCAATCTCTTCCAACCTGCAAGTGAGTTTTTACCTATGATAGCTGAGGTATGTATCAATGTCTAAACTCTAAAGGTTACGATGCCATGTTACAACATATAGTTCAGGCTGCTCACCTTGGTGGCTTGCCAGGTGTTTGAAAATCTTAGTGAGAGTATAAAGGACATCGAAGGTGCAAGGATGGAAGATAACAAGTTCTGTGTGTCTGTGCATTACCGAAATGTTGCACCACATGTAAGTCTACATCTAAGAGTTCCTTTCAGTTTCATATATCAGAAACACTTTCTTTTTAAAAATGTTGGCTGGACACTTATCTTCTCTTTGTTTATTGCTTTGTAGGACTACGAAACAGTTCATCAGCGTGTAACTGCTGTTCTGAAGGATTACCCTTGTCTTAGGCTTACCCATGGGAGGAAGGTGAATATTATGCACAGCCACCAGGCTTTATATCAAATTATTTGTTAACTGTAGCATTGTTTTATTCAGCTGTGTTCTTGATTGCAGGTTCTTGAAGTTCGCCCTGTCATTGACTGGAACAAGGGGAAAGCTGTGGAATTTTTGCTTGAATCGCTTGGACTAAGCGAGAGTGACGATGTTCTTCCCATCTATGTCGGAGATGACAAGACTGACGAAGATGCATTCAAGGTAAGTCATGTCTCCGGTTTGCTTGCTTAACATGCAAAACCCATACGACAATTCTTTAGAGTTCTGATGAGGTATATTAAGCTGTCATCTTGGTGCATTTAGGTTCTGAAAGCAAACAACCATGGCTTTGGAATTCTGGTTTCATCTGTGCCCAAGGACAGTGATGCCTTCTATTCCCTGAGGGATCCATCTGAGGTACATATTTTTCTTTATCCTCTGTAAAGAAAAAATAAGAAGACATTACCAGTGCTTCAGTGTCTTTTCTACAAATTATCGACAATGCATTATTGAGATGGCAACCACGTAGTCGAGTGTCATAGTCTGAGAATGAAATGTTTACATTTAGGTGATGGAATTCCTGAGGACATTGGCAGCATGGAAGGAGGGTTCTAGCTGAGCAGACGGGAAGAACGGTTTTGCTGACCTGGAGAAGCCCCCAATTATATATACAAGCTAACCAAATAAGTTGGCTGATATAAGAGAGTCAGGCCAAAGCTTTTTTGATTTGGCATTTTGTAAATGTGGCTGCCACTTTTTTTGGCACCACCTTTTGTCTTTTGTTAATGGGACTTATCAGTTTCATTCTTTTATTGTTAAAAGGTTCTTTTAGTATATATCAATATAAGCTGAAAAATTTCCTGCTGGTACATTTCATGGTTGAAACGGCCGTCTATGTTTGTCTATTTAATTTATTTCTGTCTGTAGGATACTTATGTAAGCACCGTCTGAAATTGGCCTGTTGCAACATAGCAAAACTCTATTGTATGCTTTGCTGTGGTTGCTGAAGCCAAACCCAACGCCATGGCGTGGCTAACTCCTGCAAACCCAATCAGACTATGAAATAATTTGCAAATAAGTAAAATTTGAGGTTCACTTTGAATCTATATGATTTTCAAACCGGATTGAAGTGCAAGTCTCTTGAATTCTAACTATAAGTAAGGATTGAAGTGTCATGTCCTTTTGATTCTTAACTAGCAATTCCAACGAAAGATTATTTATAGTACATGAAAAGAAAACTCTACAAGTGGAGGAATTTTTGTCTGCAGATTTGAGTGCAAATGAATCTAAGTAAAAAAATGATGGTGTTCAATCCTAAGAATTCAAAAGCTCCAAAAGGCCTATGAAGTTTTTATTTGGATCGAAGGATTTGGATGGAACTGGTACTGTAAAAATTAAAGGAGATGTTAAAAAATTGATGTCGGATTTTTAAGCATGGTAAAACAAACGTTGTTAATGGCAATTTATATTGTCGTGATGGTGGATTTGTTGTGCTTGCTAACAGTTTGTTTTAAAGCCCGATGTCCTGTGGTGGAGGACACCAGCTCCCTCCAGAGAAAGGATGGATCAAAGCCAACACCGATGGGATGGACCTGCTATTTTTTTTCTACGCTTTGTCCCCCAAGATGATTGAGTTATTGGCATCT